TAACATAGAGGTCCATAAATAAGTATGAGCAGTCTGGTCCTACTCATTTTGACGTGTGAAACACTCCATTGGGTAGATGGGTCCAAAAGGCTTGCAATTAGATCGAGCAACTATGAATCTACCCATACACTGACAATTGACTAGTAGATAGCCAATAGATACCCTTTGCCAAATCCTAGTACATCTTTAGATGCCTACAACGCACATGCAGCCTACCCTGTGCTTGCCATTAGGCGAAATATCTACTCCTTTTAATGTAAAGGGATGAAAAGGCATGTTTTGGTAGTATTAAGTAACCTTTTATCTTTTCTGATTGTTTGATTCTAAATAATTCTCTCTTTTTTGAAAAAATTGTTTGTTATTGTATGGTTGGTAAGGAACTCAGAATCTAATTTGGAAGACTGCTGGTTTTATTATGAATTTGTGCTTAAAACTTGGGTGTGCATGCGTTCTTATTTGTATCAAAGTTGATGGGGGAAATGTTTTGTCATCAATCACAGACTGATCAAAAGTTAGCCAAGCAGAAAGAAATCGATGACTGGCTTCCAATTACCTCATCAAGGAATGCAAAATGGTGGTACTCAGCTTTCCACAATGTCACTGCTATGGTTGGAGCTGGTGTCCTCAGTCTCCCCTATGCTATGTCAGAGCTTGGATGGTATGTTCGATAGCTGATCTGCACAAAATAAATCATAATAATAATAATAATAATAATAAAACAAAAAAAAAAAAAGAGAAGAAAAAGGGTTCTTTTTAGCCAGACAATCTAGGGATAATCTACATATCTATGATCATTTAACCCTTTCTCTTTGGTTTCAGGGGTCCTGGTGTGGTTGTATTGGTGCTGTCATGGACTATCACTCTCTACACTCTATGGCAAATGGTAGAGATGCATGAGATGGTTCCAGGAAAACGGTTCGATAGATATCATGAATTGGGTCAATACGCCTTCGGAGAAAAACTCGGTCTCTACATTGTGGTGCCTCAACAACTCATTGGTGAAGTTGGTGTGTGCATCGTTTACATGGTTACTGGAGGAAAATCCCTTAAGAAGTTCCATGATACCGTGCACGGTACCGACAACTCCTTCAAACTCACCTACTTCATCATGATTTTTGCCTCTGTGCACTTTGTTCTGTCTCACCTCCCCAACTTCAACTCCATATCTGGTGTCTCCTTGGCAGCAGCAGTCATGTCCCTTAGGTAAGAAAAAGAAAAAGAAAAAAACCAAAAAAGGAAAAAGGATTCATGTTTTACAGGTTGGACTGAACATTAAAAGTGCAGTCTAAACTATGAAATTATTAGAATATTCTTTATGAAATAACATAAGAAGTAGTTTATTAAGGCTATTTTAGTAAATTCATAAGTTGAGATACACTTTTAATTTGCAGTCCATCCTGTAGAATATATTTTTGAAAAAATAATAACAATAAAAGATTGAATATTCATGCTTGAAATTGATGTATTAATAAAACTGTTTTCTGATGCAGTTATTCTACAATTGCTTGGGGGGCTTCAGTTGAAAAGGGTGTTCAGCCGGATGTGCAGTATGGCTATAAAGCTAAGAGCACAGCTGGAACAGTGTTTAACTTCTTCAGTGCCTTGGGTGATGTAGCTTTTGCCTATGCTGGACACAACGTGGTGCTGGAGATCCAAGCAACAATCCCATCTACACCTGAGAAGCCATCAAAGGGTCCTATGTGGAGGGGAGTCATTGTGGCCTACATAGTTGTGGCCCTGTGCTACTTCCCTGTTGCTTTGATTGGATATTGGATGTTTGGTAACTCTGTTGAGGACAACATCCTCATCTCACTGCAGAAACCTGCTTGGCTAATTGCAATGGCTAACATGTTTGTTGTTGTTCATGTTATTGGGAGCTACCAGGTACACATCAATCATTCCCTCAGTTTTCTCATTCAATTTTTATTTATAATTTGTCAACCACAGATTATTTATGAGATTTTGGTTGAAATGTGTGTCAGATCTATGCAATGCCTGTTTTTGACATGATAGAGACTGTGCTTGTAAAGAAACTGCATTTCAAACCCAGCAGAATACTTCGGTTTGTTGCACGTAACATCTATGTTGGTAAGTAATCTACTAGTATGAGTGCAAACTAGGCCCTATTACCTGTTATGAAGCCTAAGTGGATTTTAATTAATACCTAATTTCTTCTTTGCAGCATTCACAATGTTCATCGGCATAACCTTCCCTTTCTTTGGTGGCCTTCTGGGATTTTTCGGAGGATTTGCTTTTGCCCCAACAACATATTTCGTAAGCAACACATCTCTCTATGCCATTACATCAGACTACCATGTCACAAAACTCTTATACAAATGCTCACATTCTCCTGGTTCTTTTATTCAGCTTCCTTGTATAATGTGGCTTGCTGTCAAGAAACCAAAGAGGTTTGGCTTATCCTGGTGGACTAACTGGGTATGTTAACTTAAAATTTAATTTCTTTTTTTCCTTATTCTTTTCTTTTGCTTCAAAACCATGTGCGGTTCTTATTTTGGTTGGTTGCTTGGTTTCAGATCTGCATTGTCATCGGTGTTCTATTGATGGTCGTATCACCTATAGGAGGATTAAGGCAAATCATCATTCAAGCTAAGAATTATCAATTCTACTCTTAATTGTATCCCAAACCAGAGGAAAGTAGAGTGCCATACAATACAACAAGGAAAACGTGAAGAAGACAAGGATGGAGATGATGATGGGAAGAGGATTCATCGGGTAGTCAGTACGTCAACAGGGTGTTTCTGCATTGTTTTTCTGTGGACAAGAAAACAGAAACTGTTCGCAGCAACTAAAACAGAATTCTCCTACAATCTATCAGAGTTTTCTTCATTTTTTTTGCTTGTGTATGCCTGTTCACACGTATAAAAGTCATTACTTCTTTGAGTGTTGGTGAAAGGATGTTCTGTGTTTCTAAATGTTATACAAACTGATTAAAATGAATGCTTGTACTCAATGTTCTACCATATAATTTGATTTTGCTTATCGGAATGGTTCATGGTTTATTACATTGTATCTCACTTGTTACAATAACAAGAGAACAAAATCTCATCAATTTTTCTTCTTCTGTAGTTTACCCTTTCTCTCTCCATACAATTGGAGGCACAAATTTGAAACCCACAAAATGCTAACAGAAATGGCCATTATAACAACCAGGAGCCAAGAAATCCAAACCCACTTAGGAATAACAGTATCAGCTCCACCACTTGCATAAAAGGCACCCATTCGGGACACAAACAAGGGGGCTAAAAACCCCCTAACCACCGTGTAAAACGCATAGAAATAAGGAGACAAGAAATCATATACTTTTGCAGCGAATTCATTGTCGTACCTCCTCTCACTCGCCAGCGTCCAGGCGTTCTGACAAGCGCTGGTGACCTCCGCCAGAATCAATAGAGAAAGAATTGCACATGCGCCATGGAAGACCAGGTGACGGCACGTGAGGAAGACGAAGAGGGTGGCTGAATGATGCCCAATGAAGATAACATCACGAGGGTAGAAGACAATGTAGTGGAGGAGATCCATCAAGAAATAGGCAATGCTGTAGTCGATAACTAAAGCTTGAGTCTTTGTATTGGGGGAAGCAAACCCACGATGTGGGTCGGAGAGTATGGCGTGGGTGGCCAAGAAAACAGCCGGAGTGCCGTGGAAAATTGAGATTAAGCAGCTGCAAGCCTCGGGTCGGATCTTGGGGCTCCAGTTACGAAACACAAGGAAGTATGCCATGAGGTAGATGAAGAAAAACATGGAGAAAAACAAGGGAAGGTTAGGGATGGATTGAGATGATTCCATTGATGGAAATCAAGCCTTTTCACTTGAAGTTTGAAATCGGCTACTAGGATGTATTAAAAAAAAGGAGGGGAGGGGCGGCGGGGGTGGGGAGGAGGGGGCTGTGATTGGGTTGAAGAAGACGGTGGGAGTTATCCAGGAGAAGAAGAAGAAGAGATGGTGCTTGTGGAGGAGTTGAGACTTCGAGCAGGAGCTCACGGTATCAGAGTCATGCAAAGAGAGAAACAGAAAACAGGTGGGAGAGGAGAGAAAGACACCAAGAAGAAACGACGTTGTTTCAAGTGACCACTTAAATGTCCGATGTTGACTTTCATACCTACCTTCCCGGTGCAGTTATGCTTTATTCCTTACCGCCGACGGAGACAACTTTTTTACTGTTAACTTGTAGTAGATGCCAAGATAAAACGTTCCTTCTTTCCGGTTTGTGCCATTCAATGTTATAAAATTAAGCAATTATTTTACGGTTTGATAGTTTTTAAATAAAAAATATGGTTATCTTACTGAATTTTTTAAATAACAAATACAGTTATTCAATTCTTATTAAAGCTAATAATATAATAATTTAAATGATTTAACAATAATTTTTTTATTTTTAAATTTAAATTATATAATATACAAGTAAAATGAGATAAAGATAACCAAAATCAAAAAGTGATGTTATAAGAATATCTTTTTTATATTACTTTTCGATACAAGATATATTCAATATCATGAACCTCACATGAAATAAAAAAATTAATCATTTAAATTACATATCAAATTATAAAAAAAAATAAAACAAAAAAATTATACAAAAATCATTTCCCAAATCCAAAAAATAAAAAAATCCTACTCCCATTATAGATAACCATATGATGGATAACACCCACTTCCTTTTCTCAAATTAGATTTAACAAAAGATAAAAATGAGAAAAAAAAATCTAACGGCTAATAAGGTATGGCAGTATTTTTTTTAATTTATTTAAGAACGTATTGTTATTAAAATATTATTATAATAATAATGATAATAAAAGAATGGTAGCACATGGATGATGAAGTTATCATTTTCATCAGCTGAGTTCCATTCTTTAAACTCCCATCTAGCAACATTAACCAAACCCATGTACAGCGCCACAACCTAGCCCTCCATGCAATAATACCCTGCTTCTTTGTTAATGGAAGGGCTTAATGTAACCCAGAAGAGATGCTTGCGCTTTCTCCTTTCTTAGGGGCTATCTCTTTTGATAATACCAAGTCGTTAAAACCAGAAGAAGGTGCTCTTCTTGCGGCCCTTTTAGAATTGAAGGACCCATGCAAGAGTTTTTATGTATCAAGGTGGATTTGTTCTTGCTTGTTGATTTTGTGTTTGTAGATGAACCACCAGCAGCAGAGTTCAATCTATTTCTCCTTCCTCCACTTCATTCGCAGGTTTCGGAACAATGGGTGGCTCGCCTTCTTCCTCCTCTTCATCCTCTTTCATGTACAAACCTAACTGCTCTAATGGATTACTGCTTCCAAACTTAAAACTACCCAAGGCATCCAGCAAATGATCAGGGCTGGTCTCATCCACTGAGCTTGGTAACTGCTCAGCAGGACCAGATCTAAGCAGTTCTAAGTCCTCAAGAAACCTGGAATTCTCATTGATTTCAACCGTCTTTTCCATCTGCACAATGTCAGGGTAAGGAAGTATACCTAACTGACCCAACAGAATAAAAGTGATGGCTTTATAATCACTCATTATTTACCTGCAGCAGTTCCTGCCTTTGCTTTTCTCTTTCAAGCTCCATCTTCCGTCTAGCTTCTGCTGCCTCAGCACGTTTCCGAGCCTCTAAAACAGCTTTTGCTTCAGCTTGCATACGCTCCTTATCTGGTAAATAACAGAAAAATTATTGTTTGGATACACAATACATCCACACCAAATAAGAATATATACCAAAATTCACAACAGATAAAGAGTACATTTCAGCTCAAGAAAGAAACTCAGCACCTTTCTTTTTCTGCAGTTCAAGCTCCTCCATCTTCCGTCGATCCCCCCTGTCAACCTGCTCCAGAGTGGAGAATGACCCAAAAAATGAAAATAAGAGGTACGTCTAAGAAAACTGCAAGCAACCAAAGCCAATAATTAACCTGTGTTAGCGTCTTTTCTCGAGCTTTTAAGATGGTATCAGCAAATCGGGTCTTCAAATAAGCAGCCCTATATAGCTTCTCAGGAGAAATCTGCCTCTCACTCGGAGTGCTTTCCCCTAATTAATTTTTTGAGAATAAACAGTAAGATGCTGTTACAAATACAAAAACAGAAAATTTTTTTTTTTCCAAAGGCTTCTCACCATCTTGACAACTATCAGACTCAACAGAACTTGGCTTTTGCTGAGAATTTTGTTCAAGTTGATCCAATCCACTAAAAGACTCTGTAATGGAATAGGCATAAATGAACTAGTAAATAAAACAGATTCACTAGCAGCATTTTCCAGTGCATATTTCATCATCAAGAAGCATCCCAGATCCTTTTCATAAAAGGGTACCCAGGTTGCAAAACACAATAATGAAAAAGACAATTAAAAATACTTACGTTTCCTATCTAGAGGGTTGTCAACATACTCCCTTTCATCTAATTGAGCTCCAGAACCTACAGTTTCTTGTCCCTGAAAGGAATACCAAGTACCAAGCTAGTTAAAAAGCCATTGCTGTGTATGTATAAACACATAGAAAGGCTCTACAATTACGAGTTAAATGTGATATACTTCATCAACCATACAATCTTAAGGAACATCAAGGTATAATCTAATATAGTTTCAAGCCAAGTCAAACCAGCGAATACCTTTGTTGCATCTACTGTACTTGAAAGTTTGGCCGCATCAGATTCCCCGTCAGAGTTGCTAGAATCCGAATCTGCAAAGAAAAATGTGGCAAGGTAACATATCAATCACTATTAAAAGTTATACTCATTGAAGAACAAATCAACTTTGTCAAACCAGAAGAAAAAGATGACCAAGCAAACAACAATAAACAGAAAGGAATTCAAATTTGAAGTTATCAATGACCAATCACTTCCTAAGATAACAACAGAAGGTCAAATACAAATAGAAATGCAAAAATCCCATTCAAAGAACTTGAATTTTTTTTTTTTTTTTTTTTTTTCTCTTGGTCACTCTGCCTAAAGGCATTACCCATATTCTAATGATTGAATTAAACAAATTGAAGGACAAGGACAACATGAAAAGAGAATATGAGCAGACAACAAGTGGAAAAAAATACAAAAACTTGTAAGAGAGACTGTTATTGCATGATCATCAACATTCATTTCCCCATTCCAAGTTTAATTTGAACAATAATAAGATATCTGTCAACTGACATTATTAAAACTTCTAGCAATTAAATAATCTCTAACATACCTATGTCCAGAAATGCTACCTCAAACAAAAAAGAAGGCAGTACATCACCAAAATAGCAGCAGCAAATACTCAATTACCTCTAGGGCTGCCTAAATTTACAGACTTAGTGCTTCTATGGCATGCCTCCTTTTCTATCTCTACAGGAGGGTAGCTTGAGACAGGAGGCTCATTTCCAATATCAACATCCTCATCCTGCAAGTCATTTCCTGCACATTCAAAATACGTTAGAAATAACAAATTAAACCAGATATAGCAAGAAGTTCTCAAATAAATTAAAAAACTGACCTTTGCCTTGCTGCATTGATGAATTACTTAGTCCAGATTCATTCAACAGCTGGCACAAAAGAAATTCATGAAAAGGATCACATGTTTTGCAATCTAAACTTAAATACATGAGAAACTAAAGAAGAGAACAATTTTTCAGCCTTCAAAAGATCAGAAAGCCCACCTCAATTTCACAAGGCTCAGCTCTTGATTGGTTCTTCTGTTTCTCTAGCAAATAGTCATCTAAAAGCTTTCTCAACTTGAACAAAGTATCATCACTTAGATCATTGATATCAATCTCAAGCTCTTCCCCACCTAAATCACCCCCATTTGAACTATGTTCCCTCAAGAAATCAATTATATGTACAGGCATTTCCCCTAGCAATGACTCCAGGTCCCCATTTAGGCTGAGTTTTTCCTCATCTGTCATTTTCCTCATTAAAGTATCATGGTTCAAGAAGGACATCTTCCTTTTCTTTGCTGGAGGCAATATCTTCTCCATGACTTCAGTAGATCCAGATTTTGGTTGTCCTGACTGAGTAACATTTGTGGGTATTTTCTTCTCAATATTTTTCCACCTCACTTCAAAAAACTTGCTAAGAGCATCAGCCATGATGTGTACGTCATTTCCAGGTGGATTGTACGTCATTGCATTGGTGAAGGTAAGCCTCACATCAGCAAGAAATTCCAAGGGACTTGCATATGCACCTGAAGCTATCTTGCTCTTGATTGTTCCAAAGTCCATTGGATGCTTAATAACAGTGAAATAATCTGGAATATTTAACTTCACAACATCAACAGGATGCTTGAATACCCAACCATGCTGATGACTCATTAATCTTTTCAATAGATTCTCACACTGCTTCATCAACAACATATTTGCAGTGTTTGGAGTAGAAGCCTGTTTTGCAGACTCAAATCTTCCTGAAGTATCCCGGTTCCATCCATGTGCCTTTCCACCCAAACATACAGGGTTGCCCTTCTTCCTTGGACCAGAAGCTGTCATTGAAGATTTCTTCAAATTATGCATGTAAGGGCCTTTTTGCCCATTGCTGCAACTAAGAATATCACTGGAAGATGACACCATAACCCCATTTTTGCTTTGATACTCAACTTTCTTCTGCAGCATCCTTATCCGTTGTAATTCCAATTGTAACTTATGAGTTAAATCCTTCCTTTCAGATGATGACATGTTTGAAAGGGAGAGTGCTTGTACAGGGACACCAAATGTGTCACGGTTATCAGTGTTCAAAGTAATAGATTTCCTTGCAGGGGCACTTGAATCCTCTGAAGCAGTCATCTCAGTATCAATTCGTCCAGAGCTATCAGAATCCTCTAAATCACCAGGAGGCCCATATGTGTTCGGGTAATAACCTTCAAACCTATCATTCTTTGTCATCATCTTAGCCATAACTTTATCTGGGACCTTTTTCAGTTGCCTTAATGCACTGTAAAGGAGCTGCTAATGTATGCACCACATACTGCATATGGTAATAAAATCATCCCATCAATGCCGAAGCAACTATAAATTATAAAGGTGCAACCTTTGATGATTTAAACAAACTGAGATTAGAAATTTAATTAAACATAAGGCTAATCTTATAAGCATCGTCAATAATTTAATTATCCAAAAGCTTGGATCAGTTAGTAGATGTACCCATATTACAACAAACCAAAGCATGATATTAGAAAAACTCAGGGTGCATTAAAGAACCCCAAATTGAAACAACGATGCTGTCAATCAGCAAATAAACTAATTGACCTGAACAATTCAGCTCAACTAAAGTAAAAATTCATTTCAAAGCTTCTGTTGTGCACTTGATGTTGTTACAAAACCAAAATCCATAAAACCCTAAAACAGATCGAGAATTTTGAAAACACTCAAAAACCCTAAAGCGATTACCAGTAGCAAGTAACCCCCTTTTGCTGCTACAAGCTACACTGCTCCATCTGATGCTCCCTGAAGCTCGAAACTCACAACTCAACACCAATACTTCGTCGAGACGAAATGACTTTAAAAGCATTAAAAAAAAAAAAAAACAGAGAGACACCACCCCAGATCAAGAAGCTCAGGTGAAATCAATGCTCCACTTTCAGGAAGAATTAAACAGCGACCCAAGAAATCCAAACCCTAGAAAAATCTCGTACGGAAAGAGAACAGTTAGAGAGCTGGTGAAACAAAGCGAGCACGAGAAGAAGAGACAGAGAGACTGAGAGAGCTCACTGTTTCGGAAAGTTTCGTCCCTTCTTAAAGACGGAGGGGTTATCTTGGAGAGGGCAGAGCCGTTGGATTTTCCGTGTCCAAAGATCGGACGGTACACCTGAGAAGGCTGAGATTAAATCACAGTTGTCAGATTTGGATTCACACTATCCAACGGTTCATAAATTTTTGCGTTTTTAATACAAATTGTCGGCGTCGCGGTCAATGTAAGAAACCGTGCACCTTTAAGAAGGTTCGTAGACGGATCTCGCACGAGCTTTCTAGAAGGTCCAATTTTCCGAGCCCAAACAGAATGGGTCTGAGCGTCAGACACAGGCAGAAAAACAGAATGGGCCAAGTTGGATATGGGCAACGCAACCCAAAGAAGCAGGTCGGGTCAAGTGTAATCGTTTTCGCCCAGAAATCAGAACCAAAAGGACCCAGAGTGGAAATTGGTGAAGGGAAAATGTTGCCAATGACTTTGCAAGTGTCTCGGACAATTTTAAAATTTCGAAGGTCATTGTATATCGAGACAGATATGGAATGATAGTTAGACCAAAATGGAGTAGAAACGTCATCCTTTTGCCTTGAGTGAATCTTTTTGGTATGTTTCCTTTGTCAGCTAAATAAGATTACATTATGAAATTTTCTAATTTGTTTTTTTTAAGATATAAGGATATATAGTAAAAGTGTATTTACTGTATTTTTTTAATATTAATTTACATTAAAAAAATAAAAATTAATTTAAATTTTATTAACTATTTAAATAAATCATTTCACTTGACCACTTGACATTAGTATTGAAAATAAAATTTACTTTCATAATTTTTTGTATAAATTAATGGTTAAAAAATATAATAAATATACCCTAAGTTGAAAAAACCTTATATTATTAAAGATTACAGGAGTACTTTGACCCATTACAAAGTTAAAACTTGTAAACAAATTCTTTTAGTATGTGTTTTGATGTTGCGCCTTGATATATTCTTTCATTTGTCATTCCATATTATTTCTAGTATATATGTGTGTTTTTTGGTGTTGTACTTGATCTTGTAGAACTACAATTGTTAAGCTGTAGGTACATGTTCTCCATAAGATGCTAGTAAGAATTCACCATTTTGATATAAAAAAAAGTAGCTACTTCTGTTTTCTAATCAGCTGTCATTTTTTTTTCTTTGGGCAGCAATTTGAGTACAGAAAATTGTTTTTCCGTCTATATAATGTTAATGCCAATTGGGGACCATTTCAACCCTATAGTAACATTAAAATTAGTCCGTTTAGAATGATTTTCTGCTCATTGGTTTGAAATAGTGAGATATTTATTCATAAACACATCTAATTAGGTCTTTGGTCTAAAAAAACCAAAACACATCTAATTAGGTCTACATCAGTGATAACTTCAACACCAATTTACCAGAATGTTTACACCTTCAGGAGTAAAGTGTACAGCAAGTACTTCTTCTCTTTCTTTGGATTTGATTTCCTGCCTGCCAGGAAGTTCCCTGGAGTTATGAAACCTTGCAACAAGAGGAATAAACATATTGGTTATCCACAACCTAATTAAGCAAATAGATCTCGTAAAAAAATAAAAAAGGGCAACCGAATTATATTATCATCAGTACAAAAAAGACAAATCAAATCAACATAAAAGTGAAACAGCATGGTATAAATAGCATCAGTATCCATATATGCCACAGAGGCAGACACAGCCTAAAGAAGAACTTGAGTAATAACCCCAAGATTATATACCTCAATATTGATAATATTAATTTGTACCTAGCTATTCTTCTTGACCAAGACCATAAATTTTTGTAAATTTCCTAGAAATTCTTGTAAATTTCCTAAAAAAATGTAGTATATGGGGTGTGTGTGTGGTGCTAAAATAATTAAGCACCAAGCTTTAATTACCTCCTTGTCTTTTTTTCTATGCTGCTCTGACGTGCGTGTTTTCAACCACTGAAAAGATTGGGAGTGGACTTAAGCTAGCGACGGCCTAACAGAGAGACTATGAAGAAACTAAAGAGGAAGAGACAGTACCATATACGTTTAGGATCACCACCAGAAACTGAAGAATACAATTACTTGAAACTCCTCCATCCTACCAGCTGGCAACAAACCACACTGAAAAAGTTCCGTATCACTTCATACTTTAAATAAGATGACATATCAGCTACCAGTATGTTAGAATTTGACCTCTCACTGGTTCTATTACCTGGAGTACTGTTTTTTTTTCCCCCCTTAAATTCATGTAAACTATGTACATATATACTGCATGGATAACCATATAAAATTTAGATATATTATCTTTAAAAATATTAATTTTATTTAGTTTAATTATTAAAAATAGTCAATAATTAGAATTATTAATTAATAATTTATAAAATAA